ACGACGACGAGAGAGAGAGAGAGAGAGAGAGAGAGAGAGAGAGGTCAATCGAAGGAAAGGGTTGTGAAAGTGCGTGAGATACATAGAAGGTGGAGAGGGAAGGTTTTCCAAGTGACGAGCGTCGGGTGAAGGTGTTGGAGGGCGGTCAAGGATCCAGTAGAGTGCGAGAACGGAGTTCCACGAGTTCCAACCGCAATCGCGACGCTTGATTTCGTGGCATTGTCTGGCTCCCTGCACGCGGTCCACGGTGTATCAAAGGCGAGGCTCGCCCTCGTGTATACGACGGGGCAACAAAGGAATACGATTGGAGGTGAGTTTCGAGCCGCCCTTTTTATTTCATCGCGTATCGATCAATCCCTTTCAATCCGCGTTTCTCCCTTTATTGAAATTTGATAAAACCAATTGTCCGATACGCGGTTGCTTTATTATTATCGAATTTCGTTTCAATTTTCGTTTTGGCGTTCCGTTGTTTTCGACGCGAAAAATCTTTTTCTCGCAACGCGAGCGTCGAATCGAACGACTCGAATCGCAACTCGATGGCGGTCGAGATAGAGATGGATTTTAATCGGAGGAACGATTGATAAAAGATGCTAGTTGGAGGTAGAGATCGTATCGGTGAGATAGGGTGATGAGGGTAGGGAGAGGGTAGTAGGATAATCCCGTATAAAGAAATATTGTTTCGAATGGAATGGATTGCGGTGATCGAGGGGAAGGATCTGGAGTAGCTGGCAGGACAAACTTCCTAAGGTCTTTATTAAAATTTCAGTCAGTCTTCTTTCCCGATAAAGTTTACCGATACTCCAACTCGCGTTAGATCCTTGAAGGCTGCTTTCGACGGGGCGTTATTAGTTTCCCGAGACAATGCTGCGTTAAATTTATTCCCACCACGTCGCAGTTCGGATACTTTGATATTTTAATCATCTTTCCTCGCATGCACCATCACGATTTATAAGTTCTAATCCTCGTAAGTGAGAAACGGAGAAGGTATTAAACGTCTTCCTCGTAGCGAGACTTTAATCTGGATTTAACGGAGACAATGATATTTAAGGGATGGAAAAGAGAGAAAGAGAAGAGAGAGAGAGAAGGGGGGGGAGGAAAGGACGACAGATGGAGGGATATTGTATTTTTCGCGTTAAACAAAAGTTATACGTTATAAAATGAATCTGAACTCTTTCGATAAAACGTTCGACAAATATTTACGACGCGTTCGCATGACGAAATCGACATCATCTACAAAATTTATCGAAACGGTAACTTGGTGTCCGGACTCGAATGCAAATATACGACCGAGCCACCGAGTGTTTCTGTCGTAAAATGTTTGCGATATTTTATGGACGTGAATTCGCGACCCGAATCGAATGGTTAAACAGCCCGTAATTCGCTGTCTAGTCGATTTTAAAAATGTTTATCGTTAAACGATTGCTACGTCGTTTTAAAATTCACAGTTCGAAACGGCCGTAAATATTTTTTAATCGGTCTCGTTTGTTTCCTCTCTTCGTCCTCGACTTTGAATTGTATCTTGCGTTTGGCCTCTCCTTTCCTTTCCCCGCGCGTGAAATCTTCTCTAGAGAGTGGAGAACGGTCAAGTGAATAATCTTAATCTTCCCTCTTCCCTCGGAACGTCGAAAACGCGAATTAACGATCTGATCGAAAGAATAAAATCGACTTTAGGCGGGAGATTCTCGATTGCTCTTAATCTCTTAAGTCTCTATCGATGGATTCGGTTTTATATTATAATCGGAATGCGAACAACTTCATTGAAACGGGCACAATGCGCGTTTAATTAAGCGAGTCCAATCAAATTCAATACCGTCCTCCGGGAAATCTGATCATTTTTGAATATCATCCCATCCGCCGTGTTTGCAACCCTTCCCATTTGGTTGGCAGCGGTGTGCCCCGATATTTTTCCGAAAAACAACCGCCATGATAAACAAGATTTTAGTTTCGTTTTATTTAATAATCCCTTCGCGAAAACACAATTACTCGACCATATTACTCGATGTTTCTCGGATAATTTTCGAAACGAATGGCTCGATCGCCACTGCGAAACGGGAATAAATTTCCTAACTGATAACGAATGCCGACAAATAATCCTATTTACGTGGAATTATTCTTGTTACCGTTGCCGTTCGATCGGGCCGTGCTCGATGCTCGTTTGAAGGAACGCCCCTTCGCCCTACCGCCTTTTCAAACCACTTCGCGCAACCACGTTTCGCGCAACGACCAAATAGCATTTCGCCGATTATACGATTATATTTAACGCTATCCTTTTCTCGAAACTGTAGGATCACTCACGCGTGTTCCATTACGTTAGACGCGAGCGTTTCGGAAATTTGTTCGAAAGAGAAAAAGAAAAAGGGGAGGGGGGAAAAAAAGGGGGAAAATTTATCGGCGAATGTTATCAGGGAAATTGCTCGCGTTTTCGAGTATCGAAGTTTGAAAACGAGTTTCGAAACGATGGGTGGATGGGCGGGTGGAGAGGAGGGAGGATAGGGAAGCGAGTATAATGGACGAATCTAGCGCGAAACTGAAATGATTGATGGAAGAACGAAGGGGAATGGGAGCAAGGGTCGAGGAAACAGCTCGGCGAACAAAAGGGTTGAGAGGAAGTAGTTATGCTTGTGTACATAGCCCGGTCGACGCCTAGGATGCTCGAACACGGTTAACTCGAATGCTTCCGATAATAGTGATAGCTGAGTCGGGGGAGAGTCTTCATCAACCACGACGCCTTCCACGGTTACTGAATTCTCCAGTCTTTCCTGTTGACAGACATTTGTCATCGGGGTCGACTACGAGGAATCGCGCAATTTCGCCCTCCACGAACAATTCCCTTTTTTCGCGATCCAGGTTACGAAAATTACGAATCGGCGGTAACGCGACGAAATTGAAATTTTCATTGAAATTTATTTTTCGCGAGAGTGCGTAACATTTGTGTCGCACCCAATTTTGAAGAACTTCCATATTTTTTTTCTCCCCCTCCACGCGTACCGTAATTGGAATCGTTTTTTGCGTGTCGTAATAAAAAAAAAAAAAAGAAAGAAAAGAAAACGAAAAAATCCATGGGCGTGTCCTCTTATAACTTTCAGCGGATCTTTCGAATAGATTCTTCCCGTTTCTTCCCTTCTCTCTCTCTCTCTCTTTCTCTTTCAACGCGGAAAAATCGGTCTTAAAAGTTTCCACTCCCGCCATCCGGGCAATCTTGATATATTCCCGCGTTAAATTGGAGCCGCGTCGCGTTTTCACCGCGCGTCTGACTTTGCAATTATTCTATTTCGAGATGGGAGAAGGGGAGAGCTCGGCTGCATCAGATAAACGACTGTATCTTGTCCGTTGATCTAGGAACGGAACGAACGATATCAGCGTGGAATAATTTTCCCACGTAATAAATTCACGCGATATCGCGGCTATTTGTATCAATAACCATGCGTCATAATGTATCATCGTGGATCCCGCTCCGTTCCGTTGGACGATCGCTGTTCCGCCAGATAAGGCATCTTACCGTTCGCGTGCGCCTTCCCGAGTTATCGATCTCTCCGTTATTATTCGAGGCGATTAATTAACATCGAGATCCTGTCCATTCCCCCCCCGTGAAACGGATTTTCGACGAACGAACAAGCGGAGCCCCTCTCTGGAATAGGAAAAGGATCACTCGTCTATTGGAACGCGACGACGAGGAGGAGGTTTCCGGTTTACAGTGGCAAAAAGCTGGACGGGCGTCGAGGGTGGAAAAGCGTGGAACTGCAGCCGGAATATATAATCCCGTTTCCGTTCAATATTCAGGAAGCCGTGCGCCTCACAAACGGGTCAAACTAATCACTCATGGGCTCGCGCGCGGCCATAACGATTCCCTGTACGGTTTCGAGGGCCGATTAGCAGATTTGTCATGCGACCGGGATATTCCGCGAATACCCTATTAGCCGTGGCGTAGCCGAGACAATGGCGCAAAGACGGCGAGGGCATACTCCGCTAAGTGAACGCCGGCTCTCTGATCAATGGGAATCCTATATCTCGTCCTGGGGTAGGGAAACGGTACGTCATCCCGTGAACCTCTGCGCGTGACATGCTCTCCTTTTCTCTTTGAAGTGGATTAATGCGCGACACGCGGGACCGATGTTACCGCGCTCGCAACAAGAGACAACAGCGTTACAACGTGTACCATTAGCTACGCTAGACGCCTACGAATTTATTATGCCCGTCTCGAAAAATCGCCTCGGTGGTTAATCGTTCAAGGGGGCGAGCACGAGAGACTTGGAATTATTTAAAACGCTTTCACATCCCTTGTTAGTCAGTCGAAAGCGAGTCACTCTTGCTCGAGCCTCGATTTTCGATAATATTTTATTATCGCGAATTCGTGATCTTGGAATCGCGTTACCATCGAGTCGAGTATTAATCGTTCACGCGCATTAATTGGTGTTGATGAATCTCCGTGGGGAGAGGAGGGTAATATCGAGTGATAATCGAAAACGAAACGGGTGATCGAATCACGCGTAGTTGGAGACGAACGTCACGATACGAAGGAACGTATCTTGAATTCTTTCGTAATAATTTGCTCGATAATTGCCGATATCCATTGATCGTTGAATCGTTATCCATCGCGATGGAGCATGTCTGTCGTCGACTCGTTTAATCGGAACGCGAGATATTTATTAAAGCGTAATATTCAGGTGGAAAACGGTGGAAAAACGGTTATCTGTGTCTAAAATACGGGGCAAAGGTGTGTAATAAACCGGATATATTTGACAGAGTTACGAGCACGCGAGAGAGGCACGGAGAACGGTTGTTACATTATTGCCCTTTTGCTACATTGCGGGCCAATGTTCGCGTACATATCAAGGAAGAAATCACGCGACTTAAAGCGATATGATCCTTTGACCCAGTGGGGCAAATATTGACTCGTTCGTTGAGAATCTTCGAATCGATTCTGAACGTGAACGTTCCGAAGAACGTTGAAATTTCACAATTTTTGCCGGGGCGGAGGGAGGGGGAGGGGGATCGTGCGTCTTTAAAATCCATCGTTAAATGATAAAATCTGTAAATTGAACAAAAAAAAAAAGAAAAAAGAAAAATTATTCCGATCGATAGAAAAAGGTATAAGTAAATTTTTCCTTTTTATTTCCCATTGGAATAAAAACTTTTTTCCAGTTATAAATGACTCTGTTTATATATAAGTGGATTATCGGATTAAAACAACTTCAATCATTTTTTGACGATTGCAACGATTTTAAAGACGTTACGTACGATTCGGCTATCGCGAAGATCGACACGAGGTAAATAAATGCGAGTATGAAACTTAAGTTAGTATAAAGCTTAAAAAAAAAAGGAGGAGGGAGGACGGAAGTAGCGAAAGGATTTAGAATGGTATATTTTTACACGGAATTCTTTGTGCAGAAATTTTTATCGCGAGCGTTTCGTTACCGCGTGTCGGTGCGTGAAGTAACGCAACTTTCCGCGAGCATAATTAGCTTCGTACGCGGCGGCGAAATGAAAAAAAGCAACGAGTTGCAAGTCACCGTAGATTTAAAAAATTCGCGGTCGAAAATGAAACAGCGATTCACGATGTGATCATTAAGCCGCGCTTTTGAGGGGACCGTATTCAATTGGACCGTATTGTTGCACGCGAGAACATTCTGGATTAGTTGCGGCTCGTATCTACTCGTAACATGCCAATTAAACGTTCCGTTTCTCTATTACGAAATTTGAATTTCATTCAACGCCGAGTTTTTTTTCCGAGTTAATATAATAAATATCCGTATCGATTGATCAACGGAGATAAGTATTAACGGGGATGATAAATATTCATTTTCGTATCGTAATTTCTCTTGTTTATTTTTTTTTTTTTTTTTAATCGAGACGAGATGTATAGAATCTCGAATTCTTAAAATAACGTATTGAAGGCGCGGTTCAAAATCGAATCGATCGAGTTTTTTTAGTAGTAGTTTTTTATACGCCAATATATACGCTCGATATTTGAGGAATTAAAAAGATACACGTCGCGCGTACGTAGATTGACGTATAGATATATTACTATCGAATACTGTATCAAATACGAATATATGCAAAGTAGAATTCATGTTGATTTTCAACGACGTGGGATCGCGTGTTTGCACGATTGTATCCACGCAATACGCTTGACACCGATCCAAAGCGATTTAAATTGACAATATAGAACGCTAAGTAACCGACACGTTGTGATTTTCGCGATCGTGCGCGAAAAACAGGATATAAAAACGATACGACGTAATGTTTATGAGACCAATTCAAGGGAATTACCTATCTTACTCTTGGTCTTCTTTCTTCTTCTTTCGCGAAAGAGAGTTTCGAATTTATATCTCTGGACGAGGAAGGAAAACGAGACGAGAAACGAGAAATCAATTCGACTCGATCCCATCGATGATTTTAACTCGTTCGTGTAATCGTCCATACAATCGAAATAATAAACGAAATGCGCATTCGCGATTCGGATAGACTTCACTTCCGCAAATTATCCCCCGGTACCGTGATCGCTGCAAATCCATCCCGATAATGGCGTCGATTGTTCCCATTTAAACAGCAATCTGCATTAAAGTTCGGGTGCGCGTTTCGATGCGAGGATTACGCCGTTTAAACCAGCGCCACCGTGAAATTACGAGGAAAAACGTTTCGAGCTTGTCTTACGTATCGCGTGGTACGCCATCCTCTCGTGAACGAATATACACTCTGGGAACGAAATGCATCGGTAGACTCGGTAACGTTGGAAACGAACACGTTCAAACGTCCTATCGATGTGTTTCGTATACTTGTACAAAGCTCACGGAAGCATGGCTCGGGGATACGCGGTTTGCCGGAAACGCGCTGTAACCCGTCTCTCGAATTTCAGCTCTTGATTCTTTTATTCGATCCGAGCCGGGGATGCTCCCGGGTCGGAGTCTTTTACCGACAGACGTTTATACAATCCTGGCCAATGTGTCGATCCTCGAAAGATAGACATGGAGTTAAAAAAGGGACGGGTGGAGAGAGAGAGAGGGAGGGGGGGGAGGGGGGTGTCGGTTGAATAAGGAAGGAGTAACTTAACGTTACGTTAGTTTAGAAACCTATTGTCGGCGGAGGGTTGGGCGCGCGAATGTAGTCGTGACTCGTGCTCTTTCCCTACTTGAAAGCAGGTAATAGAGGGGATGGGGATTGTATCTGACTCGGGCTGTGGTGTGGATACGTGTATGAATATTTTAGAAAAATGCACGCTTCAAAGAACCCAGTCATCCCCTATTCACGGTTGCTCGAATTTGCAGTAGCACAACGATACCATCGTTTCCCTTCGTTTTGAAACAACTATTGTGCTCCACTCTCCTTGAGCGCTCCGCTTGTCCCTGATCCTGTTCGATGCACCACCGTGTCCCATTCTTTCCTTCCGATTCCACTGAAGTTTGCGCGGTCAGGATTTAGATTTTTCTTCCTTTTTTTTTCTTTTCTTTTCTTTTTTTTTTTTTCGCTTCGAAGTTTTTACATATTACCTTCCACGTTGTTCCACGAATCGAGTTAACGTGTATCCTTACACGCAAGGGGTCACGGAATCACCACCTCACCAGGGAGAAAGTTGTAAATGAAGATCGATAAACATTACCCGAAGACGTACGGGGGCCCATTCTTTCCCAGGATGAGATAAAGTTTCCGGACTTTCGGTGCAAACTTCTAAACGTATAAACCGATAACAAAGCGATTCCTAAGAGGCGTTCCACGTTGTTTGCAGCAACGTACACCGCTAACTTTCCTTTCGAAACGAACTTCCCACAGAGACGCGACTGAAATTCTTCCACCGCGACCACCACCACCGAGAAAGAGAGAGAGAGAGAGAGAGAGTTCGCGATCGTTGATTACAGGATTAAACGGTTCGGTCAAACTCTCCTCGTTTATCATGAATTCTCTTTATCTTGGAATCCTGTTCGAACAACCGTGAAACCTTGCGTTTTCCAAATGGTGGGAACCATTGCTAAATGACGTGAGATTTATTCGAACGCGCTCCTTCGATACGTCACACGACTTAATCGTAAATTGTTCCCACCACCCCCTCCCCCTCCACGCGGCAAAGTCTTTCAACGCCAGTCAGACAGGACATTTATTTTCCCACCTTCTTCACAGACCCATGATTTATGACCGCGGATCGGTTTCATCGATTTCTTTGATCGCGATCCCGCAATAACCAACCAACTCTTTCCATTCCCCATTTACCCGCCTCTCCTTCCCCATTCCAACACGCTGGAAATGAGATTTCGCGAATCTTGAAACGAACTTGATATTCTCCCCTCTATTCTCGTGCTATTTCTATTCGTGCTTTTGTTCCTTGTGCACATTCTCTCTCTTCTCTCTCCCCCCTCTCTCCCTTTCTTCTTCTTTCTTTCTTTATTTGCGCACAAAGGTAAGAATTATATTCAGAGCACGATGCGTTTTAAGATTCCTTCTAAAATGATTATCTTTCGTTTTTGTTTACTCCAATTTAATATCTCGTTCGAGCAACGGTTTATATATATATGTTAGAATCGTGCTCGAATCGTTCCTTTTTGTAATTTTTCCATATTTTTTTTTTGTTTTAAAGCAATCAAGTAGCGCGAAGCAGTTAATTCCGTTCCCTCCGTTCCTTCAAAATATAAAGCTACACCGTTCAATCGTGGAGGATTTTGCCTACGCCCCTATCTCGATTCATCGCGTGATAAATCGTCCGACGCGCGATCCTTGCTCGCGGTGTGGAGGAGCTGTGTCAGATAGCTGGTCGAGCAAACTCGTCGTGAATAAGAGTGTCCACAAGCATCGCGCGGAAATCTCGTCTATTTCGCCCGTGTTTCAGCGAACTTTCGAGTGTGGTGTATTCATTCTAGATTGACTTGGAACTCGTATTTGTACGAGGCTCGAGACGAGGGAAAAGGAAAAGAAGGGGGAAAAAAAAAAGGAGAGAAGGAATCGATTTTTATTGGCCGCGTACGAATTTTCTTCCCTTTCCTCCAACGTTTATTAAATTTTCTCTTTCTTCGTTTCTCGCCTCGTTGATTCGCGATCGAACAATGGTTCGACGACACGAATCCGTCCTCTCGAATCGTGTTTTTCGCCACGATTGATGAAAAGATATTTTCGAAATAATACTTTCTCTAAATCTGTTCTCTAAATCAAATCAAAATCCCCTCCCCAGGATAAATATGAAAATGTAATAATTATAGAAGGAGAAACGGCAAGCGGGTAGAATGGGAGGAAAATATGAAAGTCCGTCGAATGCTTGCGTTGCTGAAATTCGACGCTCGAGCCAACCCTCGAGCTCATTGCTCAGCGCTTGCTTCTCGGCGAGCGAAGGAAGCGAAGATAAAACAAAAGCGGCGACCGTTTCTGAGCTAAATGAGATTTTGATACAGCGAGATCGGATCGCCGCCGCGCTGTGGCGTTTCGATAAAGAAGAGTGGGATTGCAGGAGGCTAGAGTGGCAGGGAGGGGGTTGATTTATCGGAAATTAATATGCTACACTGTCGAGGCCGAGCGAAAACACCTCGCCACCACTCGTTTGTCGTTACGAAACGGAGAAAAATAAGATCGGGTTGCGCGAGGATTTAAAATAAGATATTTGGGCTCGCTTTTTGTGGTTGTTACGTGTCGTTGTTATCCAAGAAGAAGGTGTACGAACGTAACGAAGCGTAGACAGGAGCGGGTTTGAGGCATATTAATGTCGAGGAGGGGAATCGAGTAATTCTCCGTCTAAGGTAGAGCTACTATAGTCGTATACTCGAGGGACGGAAAGGAAGGCTTCTGAACTACGGAGATAGAGAGTCAGTCCTATGTTCTCTAAGAAGCGGCGCATCCCAGAACGAATTCGGGAAATGAAGCAGAGCTCGCCTCGAGTGATCTTGACTTATGGTTTTGGGAACACTACAGGGATATTAAGATGACGTGGTTTCGTATCTCTTAATTGGATGAGCGGTTCTCCGCATTGTCTTCTCTTCTTCTTCTGTAATTGAACCGCGTGGCAGGTTAGGCGATCGGGTTTTCTTTCTTTCTTTCTTTCTTTCTTTTTTTTTATAGGGAAGAAACGAATTTTCTAAACGAATATTCTTTTCCAAGGGGTTAAAAATATTTCTTCTTCGGGCTCGATAATAGCGGTAGCGGTAAACGCAATTACAGTTTGCCGGTTTGCAAATGGGTAGTGCAGGAAGTAGTAGTCTAATGCATAAACGGTGTTCCATTTAAGGTAGGGTTCATCGACGGTGGATGCGACGTCTGTATCTCTAATGCAACGACGCGTATTAACCAACAATTTTCATTTCGGTCGGTTTCAGGTGTTCCATGGAATAACGACGCAACCAATATGATCAATATGAAGTTTTTTCGCGTCGTACTGGCCCTTCTAGGAGGTACGCACGTCCTCTGCGCCCAGCCATCCGCCCCGCCTACCGTGAAAAGTACCGGTGAGTATTTTTCTCCGATTTAAATATCGAGGACGCGAAAGATAATGAAAAAAGTTGGGCCTATTCGAACAATCTTGCGCGCGCGTACACGTCAAAGTGCGAAACGAGCCGTAAGAGCGGAATACTTGGCAATTATAATCCCGGAGTTTTACTCGGAAACCGGGTCAAACTGGTTTTTACCACTTGCCAGACGTTACACTCTTCCGGGAGACATTATACATTTCGAAATAATCGAAATCAAGATCATCAACTCTTTAATGAAACTTTTATCCACACTGTCGGGGAAATGTGGGTCAAAGTATAACGAAAGACGAGAGAGAGAGAGAGAGAGAGAGAGAGAGAGAGGCGAGGAACGTCTCGCCAACTTTTCCACTCGAAATCTTTTCCACGAAAATCGTAGATTATATACAGAGACTTCCAGAACCCATCCCCTTTCGGTCGCGATAGTTTCTAGTACTAGATAGAAATCGGTTCGTTCCGCGATTAATTTCGAAAAATGTATCCTTGCACGTCGTTATACGAACGTAGTATTCTTTGATATTAAAAGTGCACGCGTGGATCGCGTTCGATTATTCGAATGTTACAAAAATCGCAATTCAAGGAAAGGAAGGAAAAGAAGAGAAAAGGTGGGAAATCGATTGCATTAAAAAAAAAAGGAAGAAAGCATTGGATTTTATCGAGATAGGTGGCTCGAAGCTCGCTCAAAGAATTCTCAAAGGATCGTGGAACACGTTAGAACAAACTTGATTTGATAGCGACGAAAGAGAACGAAGGGGAATGATCGGCTTTCTATGTAATTAACGACTATCCATCCTTCTCGTAATTACGAGGCCCGGAGGCGTAATGAAATCTCTACGGGCGGCAACTCGCGTGGAAACGAAGCGAATGCGTCTGCCAAGACGATCCGATGTGTATGCTCGACACGATGTAACGATATAATTATATACGACTCGTGTCATCCGACTCGACCTCTGTTTCTGCTCGATTCACCGCGCCGTTTTCACCTTTTCTCTGGCCTGATTCTCTGACCAGTTCACGAAGGCTGACTTACGATTTTCGAACGAATCACGATCGAAAAAAATAACGAATATCCTCGACGATGAGTTTACAGCGTTGGTGTTGCGTAGCTCGTGTTCTCGATCGTTGGGAGAAAGTGGAACGAGCTACCGGCCAGGCCTTTACTTAATAGGGAATTCTGGTCGTTCGTGTTTGAATGACCGCTTTCGAAAGCTCGGGCGAAAACTCGATACGAGAAAGACTGGATCGATACACCGCCTCCTTTTGTCCCCCGACGTTTCCATTAATTTCCATTAAATATGCCATAATTGCCACCACTCTCGACTGCCTCGTAATCGTGCGTATCTACGTTCCATGGAAATTTATTTCATCGGTTTCAGCAGCGTTTCATTCATACCAATTTCCAATTTCATCCCTCGTCCCTGTGTATTCAATTCGAGACGGTGGTGGCGATAGTAGTGGTGGATCGATTTTTAGAATAATTCTCGGCCGTGATACATGGAAATTACACGGGGATTGAAACTTCTTCTTCTTCTTCTCGCGGCCCTTTGCCGGGAAAAATGATTTCGCTTCGCTAAAACGGCGATAATTTATCGCGCGATATTACCGCTCTCAAATCGTTTTGAGAGAACGTTTGCGCGAATGGTTGGTCGGTGGTTCGAACAAGACGAAGGAAGAGAAGGAGAAGAATAAAGGGGATAAGATGAAAGGGAGCGGGACGGGATGCGATAAATTCTATTCCCATATTCGTCATCGCGTTTAATGGACGAAATTCCACGGTGTGTTTCGAGTTTCCGTTTCATTGAAAACCGATATCGATATGCGTGCATCTCGCGAACGATTCCTCTTCTGTTCCGTGTATCGTGTACCAACATCGACTTTCCGTTAAGGTCCTCTTGTGTCGGAGTCTAGTTGTTGGAGTACCACTTGCGCCTTGATTACGTTCGAGCGAAAAAAAAAAAAAAAAGAAAAAGCCAATATCGCGACCGTTCTCGCGGTTTCTTTAGCCGCGTGGAATAAGCATTTTTTTTTCCCCCTCCCCCAGAGAGAGTAGGTTGCCTTTCTAGTTAAATCCCGCGTATATTTTTTTGCTGCTTCTATTTCCCTCCAAGACGAGGTATAAAAACGTATCTCGAAGTTTTTTAAAATCACGAGTAGCACGCACGATGCTGGATACGTTTTTTTCCTTTTTTTTTTTTTTTCTCCAATTCCAACCGATCGAAATCACGAGCATGCCTCTTTCTTCTCTCTCTCTCTCTCTCTCTCTCTCTCCTCTCTCTCGTAATCATAATCTCTCGCCGTGAGAATAGAATCGATTCCAATACGGTTCATAAAGTAACCTCCATGGAGGGGTGTGAGATTATCAGATAGAAATGGTCGTTCAGAAATCGCGATTTCATGGTCGATTTATGAAAGCCATCGATGACAGGATCGCCAGATATTACCGTGAAAAATTCTTTTTTCTCCCCTCCCTCACTGTTTCCATTCGAATCCTTCCATTCTTGGCCGCGATTATACGCGATGGCGTGTATAATGCGGTTCACGACCCCGATATTCACTCTGCGCGAAGAGGAGGGAGAGACAGAGAGAGAGAGGGAGGAGGGCTCCTTGCGGCAATCCGAGGATACGGTAAAAACTAAGATTACTATGCAATGCAATCAGCGGCGTACCAGGGTTCTTTCAGATTAAAACACGGTCCAGGATTACAGGTCTAAACTATTGTTTTGCCAAGACCCGTGCCGAGCCAGATTGTGTTGTGACCGCGTATCCGAACGCTCGGGCAAAAAGTTGGAGGTGTAACGCGTTGAGAGAGAGAGAGAGAGAGTCGAGGTCGAAGGAAAATTCGTCGCATCGTGCGTTTCCATCGCGCCACACGTTCCACCTCTCCTGCTTATTCCGCTGAACTCTACGCCCGACCGTTTGAACTCCATCGAGAATTTGCATATTCGCTTGGATATTTTTACACAAAGGTCGCGAAATTGTGGAAGGATCGTTGTCGCGAAACGACACGCTCGCCACCACTTGTTGGAGCGATGATGATAATATTAGTTTCGCGGTTTATTCGTGGTTGCATCCGTGCCGTTGATAAACCGAATTTATCTGAAGCTTGCGGTGTTCGCCTTGTTTCTCGTTTTCCTTTCCATCCTTTTTTTCTTTTTCTCCTTTTTTTTTTTTTCTCCATTTGGAACGGGGAACAAGCTGCAACATGGCTAGCAAACGAAACGAAAAGACGATTCGGGAATTGTATCGAGTCTAAGATAATTTAAGATTAGACGAGATGCTTCAACGAGTTTCGCGGTCGATTTCTATGAAAACGCGTCCTCCTTGAAAGATCGAAGCGCGACACGAACTCGTTCGTTAACTTTATCCCATTTTTCGAAGACACAAGTCGGGAACACTCGTCGGGGAAAGAAGAAGTTCGAAATTGCGGTTCGTCTTCCTCCCTTCCCCCCCTCCCCCTCCCCCTCTGTTGGAATTGTATCTAGCCTGCCGCGTACCAGGTTCGAATTAATGGTTATTTTATTCATACGACGCGGTCTGCTTCCTTTTGCCCCCGGCTGTATTTCGTAGTCCGATTGTCCGCGACAGAAATTCGTGATTAATCGTTTCGGTTCTTATCTAGGCGAAGCCCGATTCAAACGATGACGGAAAAACCTTTGGTACTTTATTCCATTCAATTTTCGCTCCGGATTCATTCATTATCCTCCCGCGAAACGCGTCGTAAATAACATTTTTCCTTTGAAAGAAGTATATTAGCACGGGCTGCAAGAACCATCATTAAGATCGCTCCGTTGGATCATTTCGAAGTTTTAACGAATGATTCTGAAAACTCTTCCTCCGTCTTAAAAGTAGTTATCGTGATGAATAAACAGGAGGAAAAGTATCAAGAAGGAAGATCTTCCAAAGGCGTTCTCGGGAGAAAGATCTCCTCTTCGCGTTTCATTCACCAAGGCGCGTATATATTTCCCTCCCTTGAAAAATATACGAGATTATATTTAAGTGGCGAGCGGTGGTGAGCGAAGGATGAATCACGAGTCGCGTGATCAAAGTCATTGTATTTTGATAACGCGTTGAACATAGGCACAATTAATCGAGCAAGTTTGATAGACGAGAGAATGCGGGAGAAAAGGGAGGGGAATCTAGTCAATGGCCAGATCGAGAGATGGCCAGAGGCAGGGTGTAGGCTAATGCATAAACAATGCGCCGTTTATCTACGCTGAGGACGCAAGCTCGATGAATAATAAACTACCCTAGCTACAGACACGTAGGATAGATAGACCGGTTCTGGGGTATATAGGGAATCGGCCTGGACCTTGGGTGAGAGGATTATCGACGAAAAAGTGGCGCTGCTCGTGCACGACGACCCCGGCCACGGGGGTGCGAATATTATTGCTTTCAAGATTTCATCCCTCTATACGCGCCATTTAAGCCACGCCGACCGATAGTTATATACCGTCGATAAATTCGACTTGGCGTGGGCTGCATGTACACGCGAACAATTCTCCGCAATAATATAGCGAAGATGAGAACGTTTCGTGGTATCGATCCAACGAATTTATGGCCGAATATGGCTTTGCCGAATAATTCGTTATTTCGAATTACTTCGAAACAAATCCAAGATATTCCACGAACGAACGAAACTAAAGTTGACAATTAGTTGGCCGATGAAAATGTTATCCACACGATTTTCTTATTTCCTAGTGTCGTTTACCCGATGCCAGATGGTCGGAGAGGAGAGAAGATGCCGAGAAATTAAGCGGAAAAATTGCATTTATTCGGATTCCGGGAGCAGTTAACTCGGTTTCCATCGGCTTTATCTTGTTACGATCCTTGAGGAACGCGTATTCCAAGGCGTAGCACCTCTTTTATCGGTTACGATACTCGTTATGTTCGCGATCGACGAGGAGAGCGATAAGGTAAAAGGCTGTATTAACATTTTATCACAGTGGCCACATAATTGAACATCGTCGGTTCCATATCGA